GTCGATAGTCGAATCGAGTCAACGTAATCTTGTGGTATGGGCCCTAACCCTCGTCGTTTCAGGATTGACTAGACTGGTGGTTTGTATCAGCTGCGTCTCGAGAGGTGGCTGGACGGCGCAGGATACAAACCAACTGGAGGGGTGGAGCACCATGGGGCTCGGGACGTCGACGTTCGTGAGTCCGTTCTCAACGTGCAGTAACGTTCTCAGCAATCCGCGCGTCACACAAGCGACGTGTTCGGGAGTGTGGGATGCGAAAGCTTCCGTGTGCACGATCCAAGTGCCATTGATGCTCTCACCGCAGTGCAAGCAACTGGGCGGCGTGTGGATTCCAGTCGCACCGATGCCTCCGAGGCCAACGCCACCTACGACGACCATGCCGGGAACCACGGCGCCGGTAACTGAAATAGGCACAACATTACCGCCACCGACCACGCCGCCACCAACCACGCCGCCACCGACCACGCCGCCACCGGAGACGCCGCGTCCATCAACGCCTGCCCCGACAACGACGTCGCCACCGACGCCACCACCGGCGCAGACGGCGACGACGTGCGCCTGCACCATGGGGTCGGCGTGTCCGTCGTCGGGCATGTGCGGCGGGTGCCTCGCCAACGGCGTATGTACGAGTGCGTTCTCTGTGGCAGCTGACTGCGTCGTCTTGAACGTCGGTGCCAAGTGGTGCGGCAAGTGAGCTCTTTGCGGCCTGGACGCGTGTTGATTGAAGGAAATTCAACCATCTATTTCTACAGCAATTAACTCCAAGACAAATGTTGTTGATGCCGTCACGCTTCCATCCTTGCGTGATACCATCAGAGGGCAAACTCTTTTGGCGAGGAATCTCGGAAACCAAGATACCGTAGATAGCACTGGAGAGATAGATCGATACCGATAAACATAGAACCGCAATACCTTTAGCCAGTCTAATGTATCTGCGCCTCGTCGCATCCGGACGCCGCTTGTTGTTCGATGGATTCGCAGCGCTGGTAAAAGGGTGCATAGTTCAATTGGCCATGGGCTCAACCGTCTCGACGATCCGAACCGACACGGGCGTGTGCGCCGTCGCGACAAGCTCGATCACCGCGTCAACGTGCAAGGGGTTCTGGGACGGACACTCGTGCTCGACCAACCAACCAACGTTCACGTCGGACGACTGTGCCAATGCCGGTGGCAAGTGGACGCCACTGCGCCCAGCAGGACCCATGGACTTCTTTGTCCAAGGGCCGCCTCCTCCACCAACGAATCAAGGCCCGTCCCAAAGCAAGACCCCACCTCCGCAAGGCACGCAGGGCCCACCTCCGCAAGGTAACCAAGGTCCCCCTCCGCAAGGCACCCAAGGCACGTTCCCTCAAGGCACCCAAGGCCCTCGTGGCCCACCCCCGCAAGGCACGCAGGACCCCATTGCTCAAGGGACCCAAGGCCCCCCTCCGCCAGGCCTTCGGGGCCCGCCCCCGCAAGGCACGCAGGATCCCCTTGCTCAAGGCACCCAAGCCCCCCCTCCGCAAGGCACCCAAGGCACGTTCCCTCAAGGAACACAAGGTCTTCGGGGCCCACCTCCGCAAGGAAACCAGGGTCCACCTCCGCAAGGTACCCAGGGCCCACCTCCGCAAGGCACCCAAGGCACGTTCCCTCAAGGAACGCCAGGCCTCCGGGGCCCACCCCCGCAAGGCACGCAGGATCCCCTTGCTCAAGGCACCCAAGGCCCGCCTTCACAAGGCGCCCAAGGCACTTTCCCTGAAGGAACACAAGGTCTTCGGGGCCCACCTCCGCAAGGTACCCAGGGCCCACCTCCGCAAGGTACCCAGGGCCCACCTCCGCAAGGCACGCAGGATCCACTTGGTCAAGGCAACAAGGGCCCACCTTCTCGTGGAAACCAAGGCCCACCTCCTCAAGGCCTTCGTGGCCCGGCTCCGCAAGGCACCCAAGATGCAGTTCCTAAAGGCGCTCGTCGTTGAACGAGGTCTTTGCATTTGTAAAGTCCTCCCGCTTGTAGATGTAATATAACGTTATACTGTGCCATTGTCTTGACAACTCGTTATTTGATAGACAAGTCCCCAACACAACCTATCCATCGCCGTAGAGGTTCGCCTCCGGTAATTCCATCGCTCCGAACTCGACTGAACGAGCGGCGATCAAGTGCCCAATTTTCTCTGGATGCTACAGTCAGGGGTTCACCCTGGCATGCAGTCATCTTTATAGCAAGTGTCTTACATGACAAATTTCCCACAACTCTTCATCATTATAGTTTGTATAGATTTTACTACACTGCCGCCAACACATTCAAGGGAGTCAGAGACCGCACCACTTGGCGTCGGGCAGGTATGTAATGCAATCGGCGGCCGCGGGAAAGGACTTCGTGCACACACCGTTGACCAGGCACATGGAGCAGACGCCCGAGACGGGGCACGCCGAGCCCGACGAGCAGGTGCAAGCGGAAACGACTGGCGTCCACGTTCCTCGGCACTGGCCAGCGACCATCGACGGCTGGTCAATCGTGCAAATCGACGCCGAAGCGTCCCAGAGGCCAGCGCAATTCGAGACCATGAGAGGTGTCAAGCTCGGAACGTTCTTGCATGTGCCCGTCGCGCCGACGTACGCAAAGAAGCTAGAGGCCATGCCCGCTTCGTCGCAACTTGGTTTGTATCTTGCGCCGTCCAGCCACCTCTCGAGACGCAGCTGATACAAACCACCAGTTTAGTCAATCCTGAAACGACGAGGGTTAGGGCCCATACGACAAGATTGCGTTGACTGGATTCGACTATCGACTTTACGAAGGCGTGGGCTCCACCAAGTACAACCCAAAACACATCCACTGTTCGAGTGTGGGTGCTGTGACCTCGACAACGTCGATCCAGGCCTCGACTGGCGTCTGCCAAAACCTCTCTGCGCCACCTACGATCGCTACGACGTGCACTGGGACCTGGAACAAACTCCTTGGCGTCTGCACGCTGCAGCAGCCGACGTACACCAAGGTGCAGTGCGTCATCGCTGGTGGCTACTGGGTCTTCAACCCGAGCGCCAACAAACCAAGCAATGGCGCGGCGTGCGTCTGTACCTCCGGCTCAGGGTGTCCGTCCTCCGGTGTCTGCTCTGCTTGCATCCTGAACGGCGTCTGCACCACCACATTTGTATCGGCCGTCGACTGCCTCTCGTTCGCGCCGCAGACGGCGTGGTGCGGCAAGTAACATATTATCATTTAGTGAAATTTGCACACTACCGAGCACTGCACACTTGAATACGTCGGGGGCGAGACGAACACTCCTCGACGCGGCCCACGGAACTGACGTTTAAAGAGTGTTTTGTATTTGTTGTCGCGCTGTAGGACTCCAACGACACTGCATGGTCTGCTCTGCTCTCCAAAGTGTCTTCTATTACTGTGTCAACTTTGGGCGATTCCATTTCAAGGTTTCGCGGACCATGTTGCACAGGCGTCCAGAGACCGGTTTTCGAAATTGCACTATGATGTTATTTCCGGCGTTTATCATTCTTGGATCGCACCTCGCGAACGCTGTACGAACGTCGACGGGTCCTCCGGTTCCGGGCTCTCCAAAGCGTCTTATATCAATGTACCAAGTCTTGGCGAGTTCATTTCAAAACGCAAATTTGGTCGATCTGGCGAAGCTCGTGTGACGACGTGAATGCGACGCCCTCCATTAGTTGTAGGCATATAAACGTCAGCGACGCTACTTGAGTTTTGGGCTCTTGGCAAGAGCCTTGACGTACCTGCAACGTACGAGCGATTCCACTTTGAAGGTCGGGATGCAGGCTGTCAAAGTGCTGCATCATGAACGGCGACTTTGGATTGGCCATAATTATCCTGAAATCTGACCAATAGAAACATCCATTTCAAATGGATTCCGCGAAAGTTTCTCTTGTTGTAGGCATCGAACGGCAACGCAACAGGGTTTTTTGTGCTCTGCAAAGCCATCTCTACACACCTGAAGAGTATAAGCGATTTCATTTGGACTGTCCAATTCATCATGGGAGGCCGGCGGGATGCGCCGTGGAGCATGACTGGCGACGTATGATTGGACATAAAGAATTTTAAATCCGACCAATAAAACGCATCGAATTCAGATCCAAAAACCTGACCAAAATCACTTCTCCAACTCTCTTTCATTCACAAACCATCCCCTTTTCATAACCAAATTATCGAAATGGCGATTGTTTAGCCGCCGTTCGCGATGCTGGCTAGCGTATCGGAGCCTCTACGTTAAAACATCTTGAGAAAAAGCGAGCTACTAGTACAGTAGCGTGCCGTGCGATCGATTGAGCTCCGACGTAAAGTCGTCGACCACAAGAGCTACGAATATGTGCGCAAGGCTCTCATCAACACTCCACACTCTGCATCACCCGTCCTCTATAGAATATAAACATGCAATTGTGTAGGTTATATAACTTGTTCTAGTCGCTGCCTTG